ACCATGGAGATACAACAGAAATATGTGGACACAGAGAAGGCAATGAGAAAAAGGAGTTGCATTTTGTATTTGTGACACTCCTATTTAATGAATGCCAAAGAAGATTTTTTTTTTTTTAGATTATTCGACACGCCAGACTATATGCAAGAGAAATTTGTTCCAGAATAATCCATCATGATCGAAAGCTACTGCTTTCACCAGACTCAGCACAATAATGAGTGCAAGCACAAGAAGAGCTCATTGACTGGTGTGCCAACCATTATTATTGGCACAGAAGTTTGTCCCAGAAGCCTCTATTTATTTATGTTCTAATTAGAGCTTCACTTCACAATCAGAGAATGAAAAGCGGCGGACAACCACAGGTTCCATGGGATAAAAGTGCAACCCAGCACAAGCCTGAAAAGAATTCCACATCCAGTCAAAGCTAAGCATCTAGAAAGGAATTTGGAATTAATGATCTGGAAGCATGCTCTGCCGATATGGCAAGCTAATATAACATTTACTCCTTAACATCCACATGAAATCAAAATTTACAAAGTTTATTTTGTTAGCGGAAATTGTTAGTCGTAATGTGAACAAGTAATGTGTGCAAATTAATCCTCTAAAAAATGTTCATTTAGTAATCTTCACTCAAAATCTAATAACTTGCTTCTGGAATGGAATGGCAGTCCATCTCTGAAGATGTCAGATTGATGGCTTAAGTGAAATATGCTTACCATTAGTTTGCTGCAAGTGAATAAAGAGAGGAGGAGCACAACAAATAAAATCCCACCCCTGCTCAATATTCCAAATTCACTTGGAAAAACATCATTATATTGAAATAATAGTCTGCAGCAGCATTCATGCCACTTGCTTATTAAAATTATTGCTACTTAATTTATCAAGATAGTTTTGCTTGGTTTTCACATCTTTTTATACTTCAGTGCAGTTAGATTATTTGCAGTTTTGCTTAGATTAGCCAGCCTTGAAGTATTCAAACATATTCTTATGGCAGTTTGTTTGTTTCAGTTGATTGCTGATCATTGTCCTTTGCACATTTTGTACAATTAGTTTATGTCCTATTGATGCTTTGTATTTGGAGGAGGATATGTTCCAACAAATAATAATTATGTTTTCAAGTAATCCAATTTCATATGAAATCACCGCCTTAGGATATTTTCGCCATGACATTAGGTTTGGTATTTCATGCTACTAGTAAGAAAATGAACAGTTTTGCCATTGAACTCAAATGTACTTCGTGCTTTGCATATTAACTTTTTTTTACTTATGTTTAAACTCTAGTACTTATTTATTAGTTACTATATCTAATGTTTCAGTAACATTTACATTGACTTACAGTAACATTTTGACATTGATAAATATAAATAAACTCCACATTTTTCTTCTTTGGTTATACATTTGTAAAGACATGTTCAATCATTTACAAACATTGGGAATGTTACTGTACCGCTGAATGTTTACTGAAATAAGTGTTTCAGGTATTCTGTCAACAATGTAAAAAATATATGTGTGTAAGGTTTTAAAAACATTATCAAAGGTTTGGTTTTGTTCTGAATTAATGTATTATTGGAAGTAACTTTGAGAGAGTCTTGCCATAACGTAAGCTAAAAACATTGTTTGCTGGGTTGTCACAGATTAAATAAGGCCTTATAGTGTCTGTAATCCTGCTAAAAAGGCCCTATTAAAACCCTGGAAATACACTAAATCATTAGAATGTTGTTTTAATTATTAATATTTGCTGGTTTAGGAAACAATGTGTCCTATAATACTACTAACCATGTGAATAGCTATAAATTACACACAATTACACCTTTCCCTTATCTCACACTCTCCCCACCCCTAACAAAAATAAATAAAGTTAATTTAATATCCTTAGTATTTAGAAGCACTGTAACAAGGATACTGTAAAATAAAGTCTACCCCTTCTTTGTAATGCTTTAATGATATTTATAGTGGAAATTATTAGAATTTCTGCAATATTTGTATTTGTTTTCTTCTTCAGTCTAGTAGTCACTGCGACCAAATAATCACTATAACATAAAATGAATCAGCCTAGTTATTATGTTCTTGCTGTAGTATATGCGTGAAAACATGAAGGCGAAGAACTCACGGGTCGTGGTTCTCCTGTGGTTGAGGTGTCGCACAGTGTCCTGCAGTGTGTCCAGTCTGTGCTGCAGCGCTGAGGCTTTATTGATGACCAGCGCTGCTTCAGTCTGCAGCTCCACAAACATGCAGCTCGCGTGCCGGGACACATCGCACAGCTGACGGAGGACGTTCATCAAAGCCTGACAGTTCACAGCATCCAGAGAAGAAAACACATCCTCCTGAACGTCCTGTCGATACCTGTTTATTCTGCCCAGGCTCCGGGGCTCCACTGTTCTCTTATGAAAAGGCATTTTATAATGGGAAGTATCTAGTTATATTGGTTTTTATATCATATAGTCCACATTTGAAATGGTAAGTGTTGCTGTTCGTTCGGGTGTCTTAAAGTGTACTGCAAACGTCCTGACATCTCGCCTCGTGATTCTGGATCCTAAAGGGTCCTGCTGTTATTCTTTTGGAGGAGCGCTTTCCTAAACTTTCTTCTGTGTGATCAGTTCTCAGGACAAACTCAAAACCCGGAGTTTAAGCCATTGTGCGGATCTGGAGTACAAGTATGTGGATCCCACGCCAGCTGCAGAGAAATCTTGAAGTCATAACAATAAAAATTAATGAATAAGAAGTAATGAATTTGTACCATATTTGCAGTATAAAGAAGACATTTTTTCTTGATGCACAATAACGATCCCCAGAGACATTTCTGTGGACATTTTAACATATCTTTATGGAAGTAATCTTTTTTTTTTTCAAGTTTTAATTAAATTAATAAACTAGTAGGCTACAGACAGTGCTAAAGGGGGAAATTAGCCTAGTGCTCTTTGTAAAGAAAAAGCATAGACATGTAAGAAAAGTACATGTTAAAGAAATAATAAAATAATTTTATACGAATATGTAGTAATATTACTGTATTCTCCAAATAAGATTTGACACCCATTTAAAATATTTTTTCACTTAATGCCTCAAAGAGCCTTTATACAATAAATAAAACAAAAGTATTATTTTTAGTATTATTACATTTTTTTTAATTGTGTCAGCATTATATCCATGTTATTAATAATAATAATTCCTAGATAATCCTGACACCTATATCAAAACATTAGCATTTAGCAAGAAGCATGATATGGAAAGACAATGCACTAATGTTGGTAAAGTGCGTCCTCTTGTGGCTCTTTAATAAAACTTTAAATATTTGCCAAACTATTGCTTGTTTTTCTTTTTCTAATAAACATGTCTTTGTTTTTACTTGAAATTGAAAATATGTCGCTAGCAAAAAACTAAAAGTTTTTCTTGAAATTGGAGGTATTTATGTTTCTCCTTAAATATGAAATAGCAATACAAAGAAATAACATTCAAACTATTTAAGGGTTTTAATATCATTATTGTTTATTTATTTTTCTCTAAATATTAAATACTGCAAGGCAATATTATGTACTATCATGTCTTTTAAACATTGTATATGATATATATGTCTGTATTTGCTGATATGATCCTGCAGGAGTCCTGCACATTTTCCTGTAGGATTCCTGTTTGCACCTTGTAAGATTTGATATTTTCAAAAATTAAAGTTAAGGCTGATCTAGCTGGACAGACTCACAACTATTTTCACAAGCAATGTAGCACATTATGCTTTCTAGTGCAAAATGTTAACATAAGTGTGAAAATTGTTCCCAGGATTCCTGAAAGTTCAATGTACAGATTCCTGCAAGAGTTCTGGATGTTCTCTGTAGAATTCCTAAATGTTCCTTATAGGAACATGCAAGAATCCTAAAAACCATATTCTCCAATTAAACAATAGTATCTTCAGTGTGTCAAGATAAATTTCAGTTTACATGCAAAATACATGCAGATACTTAACATGTTTAATTAATGTGTTAACACAGCATTCAGGAGTAAATGTAAAGTAAAAACAGAAAAGGCAAGACGTGCAGGAATCGTTCAGAGCATGTATTCGAATTTGAACATTTTAACACACTTGGTGGTCATCTCCTTTCTTTAAAATAAAATTAATTAATTAATTAATAAAACACCATTCTTGGTAAAATAAATATTTATATCCTAATATTTAGAAGGATGCCTTCCAAATCTATACCAAATCTATAACATTTTACTATAAATGCAATTTAAAAAATAAGTGGACACCTATATAATAAATATGGAACATATGTGGAATATAAGTATACTGCATTATAAGGGTAACTTACAAACAAAACTGCTAGAAGGTGGACTGCTATCCAACTATTCCCACAGAGGATGTTGGAGCAAATTGGTAGCAACAAACACCAAACATATTGTGTTAAAAACGACCTGGTTAAAATTGACCTTTAAATATAAAAAGAAAGAAATCCATGCAAAGAGAATTCAATTTGATAATAAAGTTTTATAAAATATGGTAAAATATGTTTTAATATTTAAAAAATTATATAAAGAAATATGAAATGTTTGGAAAATTTTACTGTGCATGGTTAAATAAATTGATGTAGCTTAAAGTGTATACATATATTTCCCAAATATTGTCACTTATTAGACAAATATACAACTACCCTGTGCACTTTCCTCTGAAAGTAAAATTGGGCCATCTATAATAATAATAATAATAAGAAGAAGAAGAAGAAGAAGAGAGAGTTCAAGATTTTTAAAGCTTCTCTTGTTAAAGAAGTAAATATAAAAATTCATCAACATATATATTACATTACATAATTACAATAAACTTTTCTGGACTGCTACTGGTGCTTAACACTTTTTTTTCAAGGTCACATGGATAGATGGATGTGTTCAGTGCATGTTGTGTTGTTGGCAGAGAGGGGGCAGCAGTGTGTCTGTCAGCTGTTTAAACACACACCACACTCACGCAAAACTCAGCCCCTCCCATCAGCTCTTAAGCGTCCGCGCTCGTCCCCGTCGTCAGCCATGTTGTTTGTCTGACAGCGCCGTACAGCAACAGGTTGTCAAAGATTCTTTATATAACATTGCGGAAATCATTTAAAGAAACCCCTACGGTCGATGCTCTTTCATTTAATTCCGAGGGCCATGGAAAAGGATACGTTTTCTTCTCAGGAGATCTCGCCAAGTCAGTAATGCTGTTGTGTAATGTGAGTACCTCCTAATAATACTGCTCAGATATCTGCTCGATTTAGTATGATGTGCTGTTTTCATCCTTTACAAATGGCTACAGTGAAGTAAGTTACGATACATTTTATCGAAACATGTTTTCTGGGGGTTATTTCTTGGTTTTACTTTAGTTGAAAAAGTGTCTGGTTTCACGAGCTTTAAAGTCCTCCACAGCTTCATATTACAATTATTCAGAGCTCACAGTGAGTCCCATGTCTCATTTCATGTTAAAGAACTGATTCAAAGTGCTTTCAAACACACGGTTTCTTCACACAAACCTGCCGGACGAGTGTCTAACTCGTCTGTCTGCCTTTCACCTACAGATATGAAGCTGTAGCAGTGTCTATTAGAGCTGAACAAAACACATAAAGCGAGATTTATTTGCTTTTATCTTGTTTGTTATAATGCCACAGTGATTCTTACATGACAATTGCCGGAAGATGAGCTAATAGACTGAGATGATGCTGGCTGTGTTTCAAAACCTAACAACATTTTGGGCTTCAGGTCAGCGTTTCCTCTCCATTCATTGGTTTGGCATTTATGCATTGATGTCAAAGCAATTTTAAAAAGACGTCTTGGGTCAAACAAGGCTATATTTGTGCTGTCAGTGAAAAGCTAATATGTCTAACTATCGTTCAAAAGAGACTAGTCATCAAAGAGACAGATTAGATAGACTTCATGTGTAGTCATTCATTCCTGTAATCCATATTTGATGACGAGACTCTTTTAGGACTATTATTACACTAAAAAAAAAAACGTTATAATAAACAAATAGTTCAAACTATATATTTAAAACGAGTTGAATCCACATAATTATTGAGTTTTTTTTGGGGGGGGGGACTAAAATGTTTTATGTTCAATCAAATTAAATTTGTAAAAACAATTAAGTTAGCTTAACCGATTTGTGTTGGGACAACATGAAGGAATTGTGTGGAACAGCCCCAATTAAGCTCCATTTGAATAAAAAAAATTTAAGACGTCTCTTAAACACAATGTTAGATCATAAAGCGTCTAACCACCTTCAGAAACCATTCATTTAATTAAGTATTATATATATATATATATATATATATATATATATATATATATATATATATATATATATATATATATATATATATATATAAGCAATAACTTAATATACTGTAGTTAGTTTATTTTCAGTCTTCTTTTAGTAAATGTCCTTTCACACTTCTTGTGACTGAAAAGGTCAATTGTATCTTATTTTTGTCCTCCTTTTAGGTGAATAGTCAGGAAATTTAACCATTCACCATGGACTTTATGATTATTTGCCAAATTAACTTTACCTGACCATATTTTGTGTTAGAAACAGATCAGGTAACAGTATTACATGCTTTTTTTATGCTTAAATAACTTCCTAGCGGACTTATCTGCCTTTTCATCACGAATGCTCAAAACAGCTCATGCAATGTAAGCAGACTAACGAACCGATTCATTCTACCCCTGTGTTACTGTGGTAGAGCCTGCTGGCCAAATGATTCATTTACAGCTGGAAAAACAACTCAAATATTTACTTCACATAGAAAATGAGACATTTGGGAAAATCGGGCATGATTGTATAAAGGGTTAATCAAGAAATAGATGCTGCTGAGTTAGTGTGGCACTCTGTTTTACTTTTAGGGGTGATGTACTAATATTTTAATGCACTGAAAATGTAATGAGGTGAAGTTTCTTTTGCTGTATTTAACAATGTAAACAAATATTGAATAAGACTGTAACCCAGCTAAGTTGTCTAGCTGTTTACGTTTATGAGGATTTGTTGACATTGTGAGAATTGCTACTGGTAAGTTTATAAACATCACATTGGAGAGGACTAAAATGATAAGCAATAAAAAGCTGCTAAAGTAATATAGTTAAAATAACTAATTTGTGAAGTAATTTTAATAAATTAATGCTAGATTAAAACCCTAAACCTAATTGAAATAAGTACTGAAGTATTATTTTTACTTTTATTTGTAATTATGTAATTACATGCTGAAATTAATTTAAAAACAAATACATTGTAGACAAATGAATTGAATTTTTTTAACAAATTCCCATAATTAAAATGTTAGAAAATGTTAAAATAAAAGCTGTGTTCAAAACACTATACACTGTAAATAATTATAAAATATCACTGGGTAAAAATATATATTTATTATACTTGTAATACAGCCAGGGAAATGTTGGCAGAGCAAGTAAAAATTTAAACTACTTGTCCAACAACTGCAAGCAAGATCCTTGTTTGGCCCTGATGTATCTTTATGAAGGTTCAATGAGGTTCTAGTATCGTGGTGTTTATGAACAGTGTGTATGTTCTCTTCTGCACTGATGGGAAAGCATCAGACAACAACAATTCTCAGAATGTACAACAGCTCAAGATATGAAGTCTTTGTGTCAAAATACGGCTGTAGTTACTTTCAAAATCACAAAAATGAATAATTAAAAACATAATATTTTTTAAATAATACATTTACAGCATAATAAATTTAATAATACAAATATAAATAAACTGTGTAGTGAAATTAAATTTGTACCATCGCCCTCAGCATCTACGGTAATATGGGAGATTTTTTTTCTCTGCCCTCTCTTCCACAATAAATCCTTTCATTTTCAGAGAACTGAGAATTTGGTTGCATGCACACACACACAAGAAGAGAAAACATCTGACACACAGACAGTGTTTGTTGGACTTAATGTGACTTAATGCCCTCTCCGAGCACAAGGCTGTGGGTCCAGAGCATTTGTTTGTGACCTCTCGACATCCTGTTTCATTTTTGCTTTCTTGCCACTTCCTTCGTTTCTTTGTGGTTTGTTAAATCACACGCAGGCTAAAAGCAGGGGGTGGTGGGTCGTGCTCACCGATGACATCACCGTCTGTTTTGTAGCTTTAACATCACTCGTATCATTAAAGTGGGTGAAGGTAAATTTACACAACTGCATTGAGTTTTGTATAGTGTTCCAATATTTCTCAGAAGTAATAACAGATTCAGTTACTGAAAGTTGCCAAGCACATCAACATATATGATTCTAACAATTTTGGTTTTGTTTTTGAAAAGCTGGTTCTTGGATTTCCACTGTAGACCAGGTGATGCAAAATTTTACTGTGCTGCAAATAGCATGCAAAGCCACAATGAAATTGTATTGGCCTATTGACTCTCTAGGACTGCAGGGGTTGTGGGCGGTTTCTGTTTGACTGTTCTGGAATATGTAAATGAGAAATGCATGTAGTTTATACAATTGAAGTTGGAATTATTAGCCCCTCTGTTGATCCCCAAATTCGGTTTAACGTAATTATCGTTTTTCTTATGCATCTAACAGTTTGGTTATGAAAATTATTATTTTTTTTAAATGACTAAAACTGAAACTTTGTTTTCAGAAGTTACATTTGAGTATTAAAATTATTGCAAAAAATAAATAAAAACAGCCTATCTATTTTTGCAAATGAACTTTACATATATGCTTTACTTGTTTTAAAAATCTTCTGAAATTGCATCCTTTTCGTTTAGCATTTTAATTGTTATTTGATCTAGTATTAATTGTTTTCAGAACTTTGGGCTTATAAGAAATTAGAACTGATATAGCAGGGATAAATTACTTTTATTAAAAATCAAAAATAAGTGTTTGCTACATATGGAAATGAACAAGCTTTTGTGATCAACACAATTGAGTTCTTTAGGACAACTTAATTCAGGGTTCATACAGTTCTGAAAAACCTGGAAAAGTCATGGAATTTTGACAAGGCATTTTTCAGGCCTGCAAAAGTTTTTGAAAAATAAATAAACCCGAAATGTTTTGGAAAAGTCATGGAAATTTGTTAAAGAGATATCAGTGTACTTGCATATATTTGAGATGATAGGATCAAGTAAAAAAAAAAATGTGTGGCGTACTGCGAAGAATTCTCGTGACGTTTTCTCTTCTCTTCTCGGTTTAAAAAAGAAAAAACACGCAGTTTCAGCTTCGCCTCATTTTTCACTCACTTTTACCTTAATTCAAGCTACATTTTTGAGTGTCGTGTTCAGAAACAATTTCTAACTACAGAGGGATGATACTTTGTGTGCTAAAGGCTAATTTGTACGCTTCTTAATTCCAAATTTTTCACACACACAGCAAGATTCTTTCTTAACTTTTTTATAAATATAGAGATAAATATAAACTATGTAGATCGTCACATATTTTTTGATATACTGTAATAAATTTGAACAATCATTTTTTCTTATTTACCACTTGTATGTAGACAATAAACACTAGAGGCTCTATTTTAAAGATCCATGCGCAAAGTCCAAAGTGCAGGGCGAAAAACCATTAGGGGTGTGTCAGAATCCGCTTTTGCTATTTTAAGGACGGAAAAATCTGCTTTGCCCCATGGCGCATGGTCAAACAGGGTTGAGCTTATTCTCTTAATGAGTTATGAATGTGTTTTGAGAATAAACCAATTAGAATCTCATCTTCCATTTCCTTTAAGAGTCAGTTGGTTCACGCCATGACGCATTTGCTATTTACATGACGACTTTGTAAGTGGAAAAACTGAATGCTTCATTAGGGGAGAAAACAGTTAAACAGAGCATCTACATGCGAGAATGAGCTTCCTCATTCTTTAATTTCACTTTTACTCTCATGGATAAGGAAACATGTTGTACGCACAGACATCCATTAGCCTATAAATAATTAATTTTGTTTGTTAAGCGAAAACATTTGTTTAAAAACTATTTCTAAATTCAGTTCTAATTTCCAGCAAACAAATATATGAACAGTAATAACGAAGTGTGGTCAAAAAACTGAGTTCTATCCAAATACACAATCTATGCCCTATATGGTCTAAAACCTGACAAGTGGGCAAATCTAAGCTTGTTTGTAATAAAACAAATATAAATATGCATTTAATAAATAATACTGCTAATAATAATAACATTTATACAAAAGTAAATTGTTATGAATAAACAACTGAAAAAGCCCCCCCGAGATGAAGAAGGCATGAAAG